TGGCACGAACCGGTACTATAGGTTAGACCTTTAGTACCGGTTTGTGTCACAAACCGTCACTAAAGGGGCTCGTGGGGCCCTGGCCTGACGCCAGCCTGCCACCACCCCTTTAGTACCAGTTCGTGGCATGAACCGGTACTAAAGGTTCATTACGAACCGGTACTATTGATCGCCGCCACGAACCGGTACTATTGATCATATTAGTGCCGGGTTTTTTACAAACCGACACTAATGTTCTTCACGTTTGACCCTTTTTCTACTAGTGTCGGATCCATGTCCAGCGGGATAAGCGTGCCAAAGTCGCTAGAACATAGTGGTGGAAGCTCAAGCGGGAGGTAGCTTAGGCATTCAAGGAGAGGTCAGTAAGGTGGGCCCTTGGGATTAAGGAGGGGGTGCGGACAATGTGTGTATGAAGATGGCGACTTGCATTTGTAAGGTGACCTCGAAGTAGTTTGGAGTGTCCGGAGGAAGGAGAAGCGAAGCTAAGGATACCTGGGGGTGGATGATGATGTCCAGAAGGCGATTAAGAAGAAAGATTGTTTCAGACACCTATACGAGTGCAGACAATATGGAGAAGTACAAGATGGTGAAGAAGGGCGCAAAGCGAGCTATTAGTGAAGGAAGGGGTCGGGTATATGAGGACCTCTACCAACGGCTAGGGACGAAGGAAGGAGAAAGTTACATCTATAAGATGGCCAAGATCCGCGAGAGGAAGACAAGGGATGTTGGCCAAGTCAAATGCATCAAGGATGGAGCAGACCAACTCCTGGTGAAGGACGTGTAGATTAAGCATAGATGGGGGGAGTACTTCGACAAGCTGTTCAATGGGGAGAATGAGAGCCCTACCATTGAACTGCATGACTCCTTTGATGAGACCAGCACACATTTTGTGCAGCGAATCCAGGAGTCTGAGGTCAAGGAGGCTTTAAAAAGGATGAAAGGAGGCAACGCGATGGGCCCTGATTGTATCCCCATTGATGTGTTGAAAGCTCTAGGGGGACATAGCGATAGTATGGCTAACCAAGCTTTTCAACCTTATTTTTTCGGCAAACAAGATGCCAGAAGAATGAAGGCGGAGTTTATTAGTACCAATCTTCAAGAACAATGGGGATGTTCAGAGTTGCACCAATTACCGTGGAATTAAGCTAATGATCCATACAATGAAGCTATGGGAGAGAGTCATTGAGCACCGCTTAGGAAGAATGACAAGCGTGACCAAAAATCAATTTTGTTTCATGCCTGGGAGGTCGACCATGGAAGCCATTTTCTTGGTACGACAACTTATGGAGAGATACATGTAACAAAATAAGGACTTGTATATGGTATTCATTGAATTGGAGAAGGTCTATGATAAGATACCGCGGAATGTCATGTGGTGGGCTTTGGAGAAACAAAAAATCCCAGCAAATTACATTACCAACATCAAGGACATGTACAATAATGTTGTAAGTGTTCAAGCAAGTGATGTCGACACTAATGACTTCCCGATTAAGATAGGACTGCATGAGGGGTCAGCTTTGCGCCCTTATATTTTTGCCTTGGTGATGAATGAGGTGACTAGGGATGTACAAGCAGATATCTCATGGTGTACGCTCTTTGTGAATGTATTGCAAATATGCCCTAGAGGCAATAATAAACTGGTTATTATTATATTTCCTTGTTCATGATAATCTTTTATTAGCCATGCTATAATTGTATTGACTAGAAACTCAAATACATGTGTGGATACATAGACAACAACATGTCCCTAGTGAGCCTCT